TTACCACACCAACCTCAGCACTCAAAAACACTCTTCTCCATGGTGAATAAGACCATTGAAAATCTTATGGTAATGTTAAGGCTATCGAATAGGAAGGCACTTTAGACCAAATACACTGCTACTCCAAATTCCATTCAGATATTCCATTTTGATCCTCCACTTTAGATATATTTAAGGGGTTGTCAAAAATAAAAGTGGGTATATGCACAAAAGGGGAACTTGCCAAACCCCCACAAACAATCACAAATTATGTAATATTGCTGCCCTCATAGAAGCGAATCCATTACCATCAGCAACTCATGTCCCTGCTTCAGCCACAGATGCAAACAGGGTAGGGAAACAGGATCTCTCTCCTCCATTTACTATGTATGGGTTCACTCCAATCTCCTCCATCCTGTTCCATTGGTCGGTTTCATCACCTGACAGACCTGGTTTTTACCTTCTTAATTCTTAGTGCCCACCTGGTGTTATATTTCTTTGATGATTCTGTTTTCTAAATATTAGAGTATTTGGATAAATGAGCTCATTTCTCCCAGGACAGACCCCCTAAAAACTGCAATTGCTAAGAATGTCTCTTGAACAATCTAATTCACAGATTCAAATTCATACATCCTACAAATTTCTCCTTCACAATGAAAATATTTCTCTAGATTTTCAACAGTATCCAAAAGCCGCTTTTAATAAGATATTTCTCTAGTTGTAAGGTGTGGGTATACAAGACTTTGTTACAATCAACCAGCAAATAAACAACAGCACTCCGTCATGGTGAACCAACCGCACGATGGGCCATATGGAAAAAGCCACAATAAAAAAAAAAAACTTCATCTCTCTAGAAGCAAGAAGGGAAACTTTACAACAAAGGCGGTTTTCAAAGAAGAAAACATCCAAAGATGCAGAGGCCAGTTTTTTATTAAAAAAAGGAAATGAGAAGGAAAAGCAGAATTATCTGTCTGCATGAGCTACACATTAAAAACTACTTGTATCTGGGGCAAGTTAAAGTTTGAACGATGAAATAAACTTACCACAATTTAAGGTGGACAATTTATTCTTGGTATAAACTCAGTTTTTAACTTATTTTGGACAGTATTATCTTATTAACTTTACACATGACACACAAATTTTTGTTTTTCTAAGACAACATGTACAATGAGTCTTTAACTTGTACAGCCTTAAGAGTATACAATTTAAAACACTCTTTTTGGATTGAAAATCTGATATAGGGCATCATCTTCAAATGCTCATTTGCAAAGGAGTCTGTACAATTAATACTAACCATCCTCCCGCATCTACCCTAGAGAGCCAAGGGTAGGGTATCATCTTATCTCCCTAGTTGTTCTGTTAGATTGACATATTTTTCTTCAGCAGTCACCTTCCATAAAACTCAGCTTTCATATAGGAGTTAACACATTTTTAGTTGTCCTCAATGTGCTAAAATAGTGATACTTGACAGAATACAGTGCTCTAGTTCTTTCTGCTCAACTGGTATTTAATTAAAGATCTTGGAGGCCATTTTTCTCTCAGCCTACAAAAAGAACATTACTTCCTCAATGGACAATGGGATAAGCCACATGGCTACAAAGCCACTTCCCCAAAGTTGCCTCCTTAACAGATTGCTTTACCATGTGTAAAGTACCAGCTAGACAGATTACCACATTATTTCACCCTGAGCTAACTTTTCACACCTCGGAACCCAAACCCTACTGTAGCCTTTGCTCTCTCTTAACCGTTGAGTGTCTAGAGTTGTAATGCTCCCTTATAGTTTTTTTCATCCTTGTTTTTGCTTCACCAGAACCTCAAAAAGTCCTAATAGCATTTAATGTTTAAGGTGTCCTGAACCTCTGATAGCTGAGAAAGTTAAGCAATCACAGAAATACCTTGGAGCAAACAGCTGTAAACTCCGTTTTAAGTTTTTTCAATTGATACTATTTGGAGAATAGGTCATTGAAGTTGGTGAGACATAATTTTTTATTCTAAAGGTAGCACAGATAATTTAAATTGGCACTAGCTATTCGTTATATAAATAACTGCATTCTGTTGGAGGGTCTTTTGAGAGCCAGCTCTTCTTAATCATTTTTTGGGTGTATCTGAACCACAAGAGGTATGTAAATTTAAGCAAACTGCAGGGACAATAAACGAACAAACAGACTCTAGGTGGTGGTATAGGTTACTTTTTATCACGATGTTTTGCTCTGAAAACTGCGAGTCAAAAGAAGAATCTTTCCTTCTCGTGTAGACATTCTTACTGCAGACTTTCAGTGTTGGAAAATCCAAATTAGTAAATGGAAGAGCTGCAGAGGGTGGAGAAGCATGCAAGAGGGAGGCTCCTAAGTCCATTCTTCCCATAGGCATCAGACCTCATTCCAACTACCTCAAAGACAGGACAGCAATAACCTGCCCAGCTTATTTATTTTACATAGACATATCTTCCGCTCCTGGGGCACTTTTAGGAGTAAGTTTGGAAAAATGTCTTTTCCCACCAAAATGTTTGACACAGACCAGAGTAAGCCAGAAACCTGCAGGCTCCAGGCTGCTCCCTAGTCAAACCTTCTTCCTTTTGTCTCTAAGGCACTAAGAGGCGGAGAAAAGTTAATAGTAGAGATGAAGCCACTGCTCAGTGAATCAATTAAAACCCTGCTGTGTCACCAAACTACCAGACAAAAGCACAGAAACTTCCTTCAAAGTTGAAAAGTATTTCAACACTCCAGGCAGCAACCCACACTTAGGTGCCTGACAGATGAAGCACCAATTGTGTAAAAGTCCACTTATTTCACTGTCTCTTAGACATAGGTGGCAAACCGATGATTAACCACTGAATAATCCCATCAGGAAGAAGCCACCTACTTCCTAAACCTTTGATTCACTAATAAGCAGGTTCCATGGAATTCAAAACTTTAAAGAATGAATTACCAGAGCCCCCTGCTCCACAAATTCACAATATTCACCATATATAACACAACCGTTTTAATTTTGAACTTCTGAACAGTCACTCTTCCTGTGCAGAAGATATTCCTGCACAGCCTCATATTTAATCACATTCCTCAGACATACACCAACACGAATGAAAGTACTTCTACCTAAGAACGTCTGAACAAGTTCCCTCAATATATAAAATGCCCCATACCAAAATTACTTTTGCCAGCCAACGTGCTTAACTGTCTGTTCCGCTTTTCCTGGATCGCAAACCAATTAAATCACAAACGTGGTAAAAGCCAGGAGCTCCTACAATGCTTCAGAGATCAACATGTGTCACAGTTTGTTCTCCCTCTGAGACAGTTGATTCCTTTGTTCCTTCCACGGAAGACGTACTCCTGATGAAAATTTTTAAAAACTACTTTGGAAAATAGAAGCGGATACGTGGACGATTTCCATAGAGAGCCTTCAAAAATCAACCAGACTCAGTGATAGAAAGGCAAAAACATGAGGAATTTTTTTTAAAAAGGAGGCTCCCAAAGCCTCGATGGACCTTCCCAGGGCTCACCCTAAATGGGAGCTCTTGGCTTTGGGGTAACAGACGGCCAAGGCCTGGGTTCAGGGACCTCGGAGAGGTGCGATGGCGGGGCCAGGGGTTCTCAGCGCTGTCCCTCCGCCGATCCACTTCTCCTGGCCCGATCCGGAGAGCACGGCTCCCGCGGGCACCGAGTCCGGGCACCCCCAGCACCCGCTAGGCACAGCCACCAACAGGGCGCAGCTGGGGAGCAGCGCCCCGGACTCCAGGCAAAGGGTGCAGCCGTGCGGACAGCGACGCCCCTGCCCGGCCACCAGGCCCGTCCCGCCTCCGGGGACTCGGCATCGGCCCCGCGCGGCACGCTCGGGCCGGCCAGTCCGGGTCCAACTCGACAACTTGCCGGGACCAGCACCGGGCCCCCGAGTTCCCCGGGCAAAGCCTACCCAGGCGG